ATGGCGGGGTACCTGTGATGCCGCCTGAAGTTGCCCAATTGCCGCCGCAGCCCGCACAACCAATTGTGGATGCCGAAGTCTCGCCCGAGATCCCCGATCAAGTTGATGAGACACTTTTTCCCCCTCTGAAGATTCGTGCTACTCCAACGCATCTAGTTAAGCCGATGAAGAGGTTTACTGCGTGCCAAAAGAAGGCGGTCGTGGAGATGGGTTTAGGGGATTTACTGAATCTGCAAGTCCGGGACATCCCGAAGTCATTGGCCAGATGGTTGCTTGTCAATTTCGACCCCAAGGATATGTGTTTGCGTCTTGAGGATGGGGCTGTGGTAAAGGTCACGGAGGGTGATGTTCATTCCATCTTGGGACTGCCGGCTGGCGAGACTGTGATTTATAAAAGGGCGAAAGATGACGTCAGCGACTCTTTGAAGGATTGGCGGTCGCAGTTTGACAAGACAAATCATGATGTTACTCTGCCGATGATTGCTACGGAGTTGAAGGGAAAGCTTGAGGGTGATGTTTGGTTTCGGAGGCACTTCGCTATGCTCGCTATTAGTACGTTGGCGGGCCCTATGATGAATGGTTACGCTAATCAGCGTGTGTACCACCATTTTGAGGATGTTGAGCAGATTAGAAACCTAAATTGGTGTAAGCTTGTGATTGAGTGTTTGGTTGAGAGTCACGAGAAAAGGCTTGTGAAGCAGAATCAGCCCTTTACCGGTCCTTATTTGTTTATGTTGGTACGAATTATTTATGTTTGTTATTTTTTGGTATTCGGTTTCCCATTCTTGTTGATGCTTTTTAATTCTTGTGTGTGTGTGGTTTCCAGTTGTTTTATGTGGATAGGGTCGTCCATGGGGAGAGAGTTGTGCCCCGGGCGATGCCAGCTTCGCGAGGATAGACTACACGTCTTCTTAAGGAAAGGCAACTTGCTGAGTTCAGGGATGGCGGTTTTGGACGTGGTCAGGTGGTTGGGGCATACATTCCGGATCCTGTTGCTCCAGTTAAGGTATTTTTTTCAATTTCTAATTATATTTGTGTTGTTGGGGGTTGGTTCTCAGTTCTGGTCTGTGCGTGGGTGCATTAGTAGTGTGTGCATCTTTTTGTGGTAGTCCATCATGATGTTAGTGAATTCGGTTTAGGGTTAATTTGTTTGGTTGATGGTCTATGCGTATTTTGTAATCGGTTTGTGTGTGAATTCTTCTTGTCTACTTTCCATTACGGCGTTATTTGTGTTTGCATTATCAACACTTTTAGTTTGTATATTGTGTTCTGCGTATCTGTGATTAACTCTGTGCATATCCTGTTGTGCGAAGTTGAGCTATGTATTGGATTTCATGTTTTTTATTTTTTTGCGTTAAAGGCAACTCCTATACTGCTAGTGCTGTTATGTGCATGAATATTATGGGGTTGTTGCGTTCAAACGTGTTTTTATTTTTTTGATTCTGATTTTTGTTCGAATTCGTGGCAAACCATGTATGCTTTATTTTGTTGTTGGGAGTGTGGGGGTGTCAAGAATTTCCTTTTATTTTTTCTATTTTCTCTGTTAATGACGTAATACAATTTGGTGTAGACTGTTGATGAGCTTTTAGCCGACAAGACTGGTATGGTTGTTGGGGCGTTGGATGATTTGATGCAGTTTATGGAGCAACACAATGATCGTGCTGCGCAGTCGGAAGCTGTTTCGAGGGTTGTTGCTGGTGCACGGAGATTCTTGCTATTGGCTGATCGTGCTGGAGAGTCTGGCGGGGATCCTCCTGTTGAGGCTAGAGCTGGGGGTGCTTTCAGTGATGATGAGATGTGGAGGGACCCTGAGAATTTGGATGCTATTGATGCCTGTGACGTAGCTGCTCAGCAGGAGAAAGCTGTTGGAATTGTGCCCCCCTCTAGTTCAGTCATGGACCAGCAACAGTCGACTGTACGTTCTGCAGAGGCGGTAGTTGAGAGTGGGGATGGTGATGGTATTGATGTTGAGGTCCCGCAAGAGGTGCAGGCTGTTGTGGAGACCCCTGTAGCAGTTCGTAAGGTTGGTCGTTCGCGTAGGAAAGCTAGGCGTCTTTAGGTTCTTTGTGGTGACTATCTATGAACTTTTTTTTGGATGTCTTTCGCCACTAACCCGTTTTTGTATTTTGTTATCATTGTGTTGTGGCATGCACGGGGGTGGTTGTATGTGACGTTGGTGGTAACTCTATGTACTTTTGGTTTGTACATTATGTATGCACAGTCCTAGACTTCGGTTAACTATTTTAATGCTTTGATCTTTTCCATTTTCAGTGACCAGCTCGATATTCATTGCGTCTTTTATTTAGTTATACACATGATTTTGTTTGTATGACTTTTTACTTGCATTCGATAGGGTATGTCAGATATTCCTTCGTTCAGTCTTGGCTTGTCTCAGGATTTGCCTAGTGGTGGTTTGTCTCAGTATTTGCCTAGTGGTGGCTTGTCTCAGGAGTTGCCTTCCGAATGTTGGGAGGTCGTCGATGCAATTGTTTGGGAATATAACGCACGTACACCTGACGTAGTGCGGCGGGGCTGTTCATCAGCTCCATGTGCTGCGGTAAGTGCGGTTTGTACTCTACGGTAGTTAACTATTTTTCCTGTGTTTTTTTTTTCTTAAAGAATGGTCTAACGTGTTTTGGGCCTGGGGTTTTGACGTGTTTACTCTGGGTGCGTTTTCCTTTTTAGCTATGTGCGTATCACTTGTTCTGTCCATTTTTGTTTATTCACTGTCTCTGGTTGGGTCTGTGCGACTTTTCTGCTGGACATGTATTACCATGCTTGTTTCTTTGTTTTGTTCATTGTTGTGTGCATTTTTAAGTTTTTTTTTTATACAAAATTATTCTATATGTAGGGATGAGGAATTATTTTATTATGGTGGTCGGTCGGCACAGAGGGCAGAATTTGTTTCTCTGTTGGAAGGTAATGAGGTGATGGTTGGTATACTGAATGCTTGGACTGCTGTTTTGACTTATAGGGAAAGGATGAAGGCTGTTGGTTCACCTTCCAGATTCTTTGCGTCACCGACTACTACGGTTCTGCTCTATTCCTCGGTAGTATATGTTTGTATGAATGCTTTGGTTCTTATTTTAGCTTTTGGTTATTTGAATGTAGTTGTACACTGTTGTTGATCTTTCGGCGCCACACTCACGTCGGTTGCAGTGGTTTACGGATAGTATGGAGGCTGAGTTGGACTTTTCTTCATATACGGCATGGGATCAGTTTGACATGGTTATTGCGTTGCCTGTCTTTTTTGATATAATGTGCATTGTCTTTGCCTGTTTTATTTAATGTTCCCTTTGTCCTTTTGTTGCAGTTTCTGTTTCCTATCCTACAAAAGGGTCACTACTATGTCATTGTCGTGGATCTCAGGCGCATGCGGTTTGATGTAGTTGATAATTCATCGGTTGGTAATCTTTCGCTAGATAAATATGACCACGTCCCCACGGTGCTGGTATGTTTGGGTCAATACTTTTAGATTCATATGTGTTCGTGTATGCTTGCTTAACTTGTTGTCATTCTTGCAGCACGATTTGCTTACCGTTTTCATTGAAGATGTTGGGGTAACTGAGTTGTTTATGAAGGTCACAGAGTTAATTCCGCGTAGGGTTCGATTCTCATGGCGTGATGCGACAAACACAATTGATTGTGGTGTGTGTGCCATGCGTCACATGGAGTGTTGTATTGGCAAATCATATGCTTCATGGGACTGTGGTCTTCGGAGGCGCGATGCGCGTGCGGTGCAAGCTCTACGTGTCCGGTTCGTGTATGATATCTTGATGTTTGAAGGCAACACTCATCGCCACTCAAATGTTAACTGTGTTATGCGATCCATTGCAGTGGTCCGTGGCAGGCCATAATTTTATTCGGATGTTTTTTAACATTGTCAACCACATTTAATAATGTTATTTCTGCTCTTTCTTTCCCATAGAGATTTTGTTTGTTTCTGTTTTGCACGGCAACATTGCGTTTTACACTTGTAACCCGAATTTAAATAATAGTATGTGGTTTCTGTTTTGTCCCTTCCATTTTTTAATGTTTGTTCTTTCATGGTGGTCAGACAGGGTCTAGCTTTAGTTCAAATAAGCTAGTCACACACTTTACAACCGGTATGCTATTCAAATTATCTAGTTGTTTACCTTCTTTGCGCATGTTGTGGGTTCAATTTGCGTGTCTGTGCGTAATGGTCGCTCACTAAGTGCGTGTCATGGTTACGGTCCGTGCGTATTTGTGGCTCATCATTACGGTTTGTGCGTCATGGTAATAATTTCTGATCCATGTTTGCCTTTATACATTTCTGAGCTGGTGTCTACTCTTATCGCTTTATTTGCCTTTAATAATTTTTTTTTTTTTGAAAATTATTTGCCTTTAATAATTTAGTTTTCCCAATATATCTTCTACGCTTACATTGTTCAATTCGTATAATCGACTAATAACTATATTGTGTCAAGACATCTTCTAAGCTTAAATTGTTCGATAATAACATCAAATTATTCCCGTGTCCATTTTTCTAGACACAGTACTACCCTTGTGCGTCGTCTCGTAATGGTTTGTGCGTCATAGAAATAAGTTATTCGTCTTAATATATCTTCTACGCTTAAATTGTTCAATACTAATAATCTACTAATAACTCTATAATGTCAAGACATCTTCTAAGCGTTAATTGTTCGATAATAATACCATATTATCCCCGTTTCCATTTCTTTCGACGCAGTACTGCCCCTGTGCGTCGTCTATTATCGATCTGTGCGTAGGTTTGTAGGTATGTCTACTATCACCTCAACTCACGTGTAAACTGTATTTTTTACGCTTGAGCTGTATACTGGTTCTCGCACATGCATGCTGTATTTTTTTTTTTTAAAAAAAACCACAATGTAATCGTAAGAATTAAATACATGATCTAGTTGTCCAAATATAATAGTTCGCATTAAATAGTAACGATATGACTATTTTTCCCAACTTTATTTTTGTGGACAGCTCCTACTATTGTGGCTGGTTGCTAGTCAACAGGTCTTGCATGTTCGTTTCTTCTTACTTTGCTCCTTCATTGCTATCTCTTTAGCAGTCCTCATTCGTTTTCCTGACCCTTTGTTGCTTGAAATGGGTGGTGGGTGCACATTGACTTCCTCAGGTTGTGGGACGCCGCAGTATGACTCCATAATCACTTGTTTGCCTTTATCTGGACCCCCTCGTTCTCCCCCGCTCTCGGACCATGTCGCTTCGAAATCCTCTAGTGTTTTTCGAATCGGCTCCAACTTCGAACTGTCTCCTTGTGCTAGACCTAGACATCTGTATAACAAATTAATTATGGTGTTTTCTTCGTTATTGTTGGTTGAAGAAGTCCTAGCATGTTGCAGACTATCATTCCCCACTCCATTTGTGTTTTTTAATGTTGTTTTTGTCCATCGGGGGTTGATATGTTGGGGAGGTGTGTGCTCGATCCGTTCGTAGATTAGCACCGCATAAGCATGACTGCACAACAAACCAATCCGTGTGTACATTCGGCAAGTGCAAGTTGTTGTGTTTGTCCCATTCTCTACTATGACCGTGAATCTCTTGTTATATTCATCCTCAACCACGTACGTGCCTATTGGGCCATCATGCTTGACAGAACGCACTCGACAATCAAAACATCCGGCGCATATATTCTCTTGTACCTCGTAAAACACAGTTAATGTGTACTGTGCCGCTGCATCTTGCTCTATTCGCAGTTGCGTTTTGAACAAGGGTGTTTGTGCGTTGCAAGACCCACTTAGATCCGCCTCTGTGATCCGTTGCTTTCTAATTGTACTCTCTAGCCGGATGAAAAATTCCGAAAGACACATGTGTTTGTTTGTGTTGGTTCGGAAAATTCTATTTTCTGCTTCAGACCGGGATGTTGTACGGAGTAGTCCGCCCATAAACACGTCTTCAAAACACGCAGGCACCCATTTCTCACGCTCGTCGTACATACGATTCAGCCATGCATTTCCTTGTAATTCGTACTTTTCAATTACTCCTTTCCATGCAACTTCGAAATATTCGGAAGTCGCGCTGTCATTCCACACTACATCATTTAGTTCCCTTCGGAACTCTTCGTTTCGTGCCATCTCTGCGCTCACCTTATCACTCACCTTCGTCATTATGTGCCACATGCAATAACGGTGTCGGGTCTCCGGAAATTCTTTTGCAATTGCTACCTTCATTGCCGGGTCTTGATCGGTTACTGTAATACGCGGTATGCTGCCCATTGCGTTCTTGAAGTGCCTCAGCGCCCAACAATACGAGTCCACATCTTCCCTAGCAATTAGTGCTGCGGCAAATGTCACGCATTTTTTGTGGTTGTCTACGCTCGCGCAATTTGATTGATTTATTTCTTCCCTTTTTACATATGGAGGAAGAAAACTTACATTTAGAGGATGGTAAACACACGATTCCTTTATCCCCCCTTACCTTTCATGATAAAGTGGCTCCTGTGAATGGGACAAACACGAGATTGTACCTGTCACACCAGAAAACTAGTTACTTCTCATGCATATACTGTCCAGTTTTGATGGTCACGTACGTGCCCATGCATGTGGTAGACACTTGTTCGCTCACGCCTCAACTCACGCACGCACAGCAGAATGCTATTCACCCTATACCGCTCCATGTACATTTTAAACAAATTCACACAGAATTTTACTTTAATTTTTTGCCGTTCTGTTAAGTCGCCATGCATTATCTACCCTCTAATACGCTCACTATATAACTCACGCACGCATAGCGGACTGTTTTTCCCCCATCACCCTCCCCGTTGATTTTTAAATAAGGCTTGCAAAACTCTGTATCAACCTCAACGTTTACACATATAATACGATTGCAATTTTAGTTTTTAGTTTCCGGAATTGCGTACCTGTTTGTTTTGTACGTTGCATCGAACGATACGACATCTCCGAACGCACAGAATTTTTGTCGTGCTACTCCGTCTGCCCAAAACACACGTGCCAATTGATCTTTTTCATTTGCTTCGTATTCGAAGTACATGTCACTGTAGTCAGATTTGATATCAAGGTATTTTGATATTACCATTTGTGCGTCTCTACCTTGCATGTATGCCAACACCTCCCTTCGGTAATTCTTGAAATCCTGCTGCATGCAACCCACATTCTCAACTCCACCAACCATCTCTGCGTATATGTCAAAGCTCTTACTGGCACCGACATTAACCTTAGAGCAATTCGTTATGAATTGTTGATGACCAACATCTAGTTTCCTATTCACTTTCAAGAAAGGCTTGTAACTCTCCTCGCACAAACAGTGCGTGTGTGCCTCTTCGAATGTCGTCACAACATACCTTCCCGCCTTGTCTCGTTTGAATACAATCCTAGCCATGCACCCAACTCTTGTTGACGGCCGGCGGCATCTGGCCTTGGTTGGTGCATCACTAACAGCCGGCTCTGTGTTTTTGGTTTCCTTAAAACCTTCACGTGAACAAACCATCTTTTTCCTCAAAATGGCCCCATACCTGTTCTTCTTGTCCGAACTTTGACGCACATCAAAGCCAGCTATAGATGCATACTTCATGTAGAATTCAATACCGTCATCTAAGTTTTTAAACATTTGACCTTGTGTCGGCTTAATGTTGGGGTCGCATTCTGTTAACCAAGTCTCATTGCCGCCTGGTGATACGTCCATAACACACTCTCGCTGCCCGGCATCATCTTCCATGGGTAGTGAACGTGACAAACAACATACATTAGTAAACTGGTAGTATGTTCACGAACCACTGTTAGCCCAATATGCACCAACTACTTGTGTACCACGCACACGTCACAATATTCTGAAATCATGGTGGTCCTCACTGTTACGAAGACAACCACACGCACACACCTGCAACTACGTGTTAGTTGGTGTCAAAGTGCACAGCCACAGTTTCAATATAAGTGTCAGTGGCCCACACTCCTAACTCTGTCATTTTCTATTCTCACGCACACACTGCGATACCTAACCCGCACACAACCAGCACACCATCCGCATACAATGTTCTTAAATACGTCGCCTAACACTCCCAAATTATTTTCCATCCGCCCAACAACAATTATATATCAAACTAATTAACATGCATAAACGCACATACCAATTAACGAAGTCGCACATACCTTTGCTGCCTGAAGCAATGTCTACAGTCTCCGCCGGTTACTATGCACTCTCACACTTCCTCACGCGTTTCATCTTTTACCCGGCATATGCACATTTATATTACCTATAATATCTTCCCTAATATCATGCTTAAGATTCCATTAATATAATGTCCATAATTAAACAACTAAATACAATTACATTATGATCCTTGTGATTTCTAAATCTCCTTAATTTCTTACAAAATCTCATCTAATCTTGACCATTCATGGAAATGTAATCAATGGATATAAAGAGTTCTCATGTGCCCATGTGAAATGGGGTGTGCACCGGATTCGAAGCATATATATATATATATATATATATATATATATATATATATATATATATATATATGGGTAGACATCAGGTGAGACATGCCATCTAGATGAGAAATAGGACTTAATCTTGACCTTAGGATCTAACAAATTATTGGCTAAGATTGGTTGGGAAGATTTAAATTAGATAGTGTAAAAAGGCGCTGGTTTTTTATTGTAACAGGCATTCAAAGGGCAAAGGTGTAATTGTGTGTGCAATGTCAGTACGAGAACATAGGAAACCCTTGACTTTCGCTCTGCCCACTCCGTATACTTCGTACGCTTGAACCCCAATCGCCGCGACGAATCCAATTTCCAGACGGCGTTGAGCTTGGCTGACTCCGGCGAAAAATGTTTGGTTCTAGACGGCGTGAAAGGCGGCAGCGTGCAGCGAAGACCCGAACAGAAAGCAGAGGTAATTTTTTTTGTTCTTCGTTTAATATTAGAGGCGTGCAATTGCCGGATGTAAAACCCCAACCGAGGCTACGGTTCCGGCGCGACTGAATGTCTGAGCCGCTTCGGGTTACCGGCGCATGTTGATGGTTTATTAGGGATTAGGCACTAGATTTGTAGCCCACAGTGCACATAGAAGGACATTTAAATGCACACTGGATGAAGTATATGTAAATTTTGTATATGTAAATATTTGTTCAAAAAACAGTGTGCCACATGCTTATTATGTTGTGTGCACGTAGAAAGAAATTGGCGTCTAGAATTAGTTAACCCCCCATGCACAGCGCTCACAACTAAAGTGCACACTGTGTAGAACACATATGCAGTTGCACACTGTGTAGAACATATATGCACTGGTTTTAGCCCACAGTGCACAAAATAGGGCATTTAAATGCACGCTAGATGACGTGAATGTGAATGTCTGTTCAATAGTCATTGTGCCACATGGTTGGTATGTTATGTGCACATAGGAAGAAAGTGGGTTGCAGCGGTAGTCATCCCACATGCACAGTGCTCACACTAAGGTGCACACTGTGCAGAACACAGATGCACACCAGCCCACTACGTGCTTGTACATGGTATATATACCAGATTAATTTGGAGATTTGGAAAATGATAGGATTATTACCTTGCACAGAGTAAAATTGGTGTTTTAACAAGTGGTTTTTAGTAAACATTTTTGCAGCCATTTGAGGATCAGGTTAGTGAGGCGATGACGTGAATATGAATGACCATCGACCTTCGAACATCAAGCGTGCAATTAAGTTCCAAGATGATCTATTCCGCTGTTATGTGACACAGGAAAACTGACAAGAGGAGTTACTGTGGACCATGGTGTCCATTGATTTTATTTTGCTACTACACGCACTCATTCCCATATTGAAGTAGATATTGTTTTGTAATATTTTTGTGGAAACATTTAGTTCGCGTTACTCAACATAATAACTGGGGATGATTAAATTTGTCGTGAAACATGGATGAGTAGTAGTGCACAGTTATTTTATAAACTCAAACATATTGTTGTGGTGAACAAGCAGAATGGCTGGCATCACTAACATAGCCGGACTACACTTAAACTAATTAACATGCACACCACAGAATAAATACGTGCACACACTAATATTCCCTCCAAGGTATCAGTTTTTAATTCACAAGTGAATAACTAAAGATATAGAGTTGCAATTGAATCCATCAATTTTGTAGTGGACCAAAACTCCAAGCAACGAGCAGTGTAGACAACAAAAATTTAAGAAAAAGAATAGAATGTACTACACTCTAGTGCACAGCCAAGTCCAGACTCCAAACTAACATGCACACACACCATTTAGTTCGTGCACACATTGCCTCAAGTAGGTGCACACGCGTCCTTTCATCTAAAAATTCCCATATTAAACACCATAGAGGTAACCCAAATCAGACAAACCCACTACCCAGCAACAAGGAAAAAAGTTACCCAATGTCCACCTCAAATGTGTCAAAACGGCACACGGTGATATAGGAGGTGCACACGCCCACATACTGTATATGGGATGCATTTAATTTAATATGCTCACCTAGACTACACTGGGTGCACACACTTGACAATTCATCCGTATGCTAATAGCTCTCAAACATATACTAGTAACCAGATTAAATTATGTAGATTAAACGTACATACATAAAAATGAATAATTTAATAGTTTCAAGAAATTTCTCAATGGAAATTTAAAGAAGAAGAACTACGCTTTGGCTTTAGGGGGGCAATTGCAGCTATCACGACCATCATATTTCTGTCAAGTCTTGCACTCTCGGGTTGAGTTCGCAGCCTTTCCTGCAGCAAACTCTTTTGACGATTTGAACCACTTCCCACAACCCTTATTCTTAGCAACGGTTGGTGGGTGGACAACAATATCAGGAGACGTGAGCACACCACCAAACGCCCGAGCAACACTTGACTTACCTCCCCTCACCTATTTTTTGAATCCGTGCTACGACGAACATCGAACGCAACTGTACAAGCATAGCAGATATAGAACTCAACACCATCATCCAACCTGCGAAACCTCTAACCAACAAATGGCTTGCTAGCATTGTCACAAATCGGCACCCAATACTTCATTTTCCCTGGAGAAATATCCATGACACACCCCGCGAATATCATTTGCAGAATCTCCACTAACACAAAACGATGCTGCCACATGGTGAAGAGAAAATTTTAAAGACAGCCACTAAGCAATAATTTCTAGAACAATAGAAACACACAATAGCAGTGTGCACATAAGTCATATGGTCTGTGCACTGACTTTCAAACATAGAATAACAAACAAAGAAGTCAAAAATGCACAGAAATGATCCAAAATTAGAAGAAAAAAATGCCACAACCTGGAGATTACACGTCAAATTATTACGCTCCAAGACTTCCCTACAAACAACCTTTGACATAAATAAAAAAATAAAAAAAAAAAAACTAAAAAAAAAAAAACTAAGGGTAATAGAATATGGTAGGACGCATGAGCAGACATGCACACGTTAGAATACATACATTCCCACACTGGCGGGATAATAAAAATCACTACAACATGAAGATGAACGAGAAAACGAGCACTGTAAACAACTTGAAACCACCAATGTTAATAACTAAACGATTGCGAACAACAAACACACTCCCACGCCCCACACCATAATATCAGTATGATCCAGTACAAAAAACCCAAAAAAAACGTAGGAAAACATACCTTCATTAACACATTTCATGCTTCAGCAAAGGAGAGGGATGGCGTGCTGCTTCGGCAAGGAGAAGAGGCTGGCGTTTGACGATGGTAGACACTACGTTCATCAATGACGAAAACCAGAAAAACCAATCCTACTAAAATTAAAACCCCTAAAATCAAGCATAATATATGGATAGAATTCCATTCTAAAAATAAATCAAACGGACAATTACATTAAAACCCCTAATAATTAATATTAAGCAAATAAGGAAGTAAAAAAGAAATCATCTCAGCCATCAAAAAATCAAAGATGGACGCTCCAAAACAATTCTTAGTTCTCACCTAAATAGGTTGTCTCATTTGATTACAAATCATATATATATATATATATATATATATATATACTAAACTTAATAAAAAATAAAAATTTTAATATAACAAATGTTGGGCCAATCTACAATTATATATATATTTTTTTAATTTCTGGGCCAAACCTATCTCATTGCTGCAGCCCATTTTTCCAAAGTCCATTCACAATTTTGGAGGGAAAGCTAAGATTTTGCTTTATTATATATAATAATAATAATAATAATAATAATAATAATAATAATAATAATAATAATAACTAGTATTTGAACCCGTGCGATGCACGGTATAATAATATGATGAGAACAATTATCTATCAATAGTGTATTATAGACAGAGATGTAATTATAAAATACAAAATACAATTGGGCATATGCACTTTAACTATAATAAAATAAAACTAACGTTTATCAAAATAGTTTAAAAATTATTAAATACTTCTTTATATACAACATTTGTAGTTTAAAAATTTTTTATCCATGCATCGCATTGGTTTCTTAAGATGATTTATAACATTTTCAAATTTGTATTTATTTTATAAAAACCAAATATCAGAATTTAGATTTTCAAAACTATACTTTATTATTGATTAGTGACCATATATTTATCTAAATATAATTTAAAATTTTACAAAAATTAATTCAATACTTCAACGAATTAAAAAAAAAAAAAAAAAAACCTTAATACATGAAATAAATTAACCCAACAGGGTAGCTCAAGTGGC